TGTAGTCTTCCAGCGAATTCATCAAAGTGGACTGTTCTCGCAAATTTTGTTTCTCTATATTGTAACAGACTTGTGAAAAGCGCTTTCCAAAGACTGTTCTGATGTACTTTAGCGAAAATATTGGTGAAGTGTGCCTCTTTATCGTGATTTATACATCGTCTCATGCATTGTTTTTATTATCAAACAAGAATGATTCTAGAATGATTTTATCTTAAAAAAATTCCCCGGAATGCGTGCAATTTAATCTGGATAATTTCGCGTTTTGTCACGTACATTTGAAAAATCTAACGTGATTGCATCAGGAGCAACCGTACATCGGCGCTCGATTTTAGCACATTCAGCTAAATCTTTGTCTAGAGGTGATGTGCATTTTAATCTTAGCGATTATTTTTTTCGCATTTTGTCACGTACATTTGAAAAATCTAACGTGATTGCATCAGGAGCAGTCGTACATCGGCGCTTGAAAATTTTTGTTATATTTAGCTAAATCTTTGTTCTGAGGATGATAATATCATCGCAGCCGTACATCGGCGCGAACAAAATTTTAGAGGAAATTAAAATGTTGCATCAGCAATATATATAATAATCCCCTCTACATCGCAATTTGCAATACTGTTTGAATTAACAATAATTCTAACACGATCAGCATTGCATCAATCGCGCGTGTAAAAGATTTACTGAAGAAATCAGCATGAACTTTTACGTTCCGATTCGAAACAGCGAAACTCTAAGAAGCAAAAAGCGTGTAAGAAGCAAAAATGCAACGCGTAAGATTTGATTATTTAAAAAATTTTGTTATTTATTAATTTTTTAATATTTGGTCTAATTATTTATATTTTTATAGCATTCAGCTTCGTCATGCGGCTCGCATACTTGGAAGAAGGTTCGCTCTAATCCTGACGTCATATAAGTATTTGGACATTGGAATAAGCTATATCATACGCATTGAAGCTATATCATACGTGGAGCTGATTCTTGGCGATAATCAAGGTAATCAAATATTGTTGCCTTTTTCAATGTGGAATTTGTTGATGCAGAAGCAAGCAGACATTGATTGTTTTCTAATCGACTGCTCCCCCATTAAAGAATGGGGGGATTTAACGATCGAAATGCATTAATCGAAAATTGTAAAACTCACATTATGCGAAAAGATTTTGTATATGAAACCACAAACATTATTACATTTATTTAATTTTGAAAATTGTATTAATCATATGTACAATTGATTATGTGAGAATACCTATCTCATTAATGAAAAATTTAAACAATTTGAAACTGTATTACAACGTAACAATATTATTACTATATGCGATGCTGTAAAAACGATACGCGAGAGTCTTTAACAGTGAATCATTAATTGATTGCGAATTAACATACGCTGTAAATGATATTCTTTACGATGAGTGCAATAAATAATTATTTTTATTCCATCTGTGATTTTATTTCTTTCCTTCCATACAAATAAGAATAGTTGATACTTTTCTCAACACGCTCTACCAAAGAGGAAATGCTGAGGTAGATGAGACGTGATGCTCTAGTTAGAATGAGACAAAAGATATTAAAAGATATATAATAAAGAGGAGTCTGCGACATTAGAATATTATTTCTTTCGTTATCCTTCTATGTTTCGTTGGTCTTGTGTTTTGTTGGTCACGTATAATGGCTGAAGAAAACGTTATTATCATCAACGATGATGACGTTCAGAAACGGATGATGATGATAATTGGATGAATGCAGATGTGGCAGAGATTGAGAAGAGAGAGAGAGGAGAGAGAAATGGATGAGATGGAGAGAAAAATGGGAGAGAAATCATCCGATGAGGAACTTGATTTCCGTTTTCGGATTAGTCAAGAAGAATTACTTCGAATAAAGCGGGAACAACTTTCAAAGAAGAATCTGGAAATTTTAATCGTTCAATTTATAAGACATCAAGATCGGCTTGAAAACCCCCGCACAAATTTGTTGAGAACATTTCTCCTAACTCGAGAAATATGTGCGCGAGAATTTGTAAAATATGGATGTACATGTTTCAATATAGAACCTAATCATTCTAAAGTAAAATGTATTGGAAACAAACTGCGTGAAAATCTCGAATTAATAAAAGATTTTGAAAAACTGAGAGAAGATGAACATGAGAATATAGCACGGAACTTAGAAACGTTGAAGGTAAAATATTTTTATCGATGTGTAATAAATTTAAAACACTTAAAATTATTATGTATGATTTTAAAGTTTACGAGAGTATATGAATAGTCGACGAGAGGATAAATAGATATATGAATCTAAACCTGTATCAAAATATAAATTGGGCGTATTGTATAACGATGAACCATGGATAATATTGTAAGTAACTTACAATTTAATTTAAATTATTAAAATATAAAAATAATGAAATGTATGTCTTTTTTCTATTTCAGGAGCGATTTATCTCCCCTTAGCTCGGCGCATCACCACTCCTATATATATTTTTTTTACATTAAATTTTATATTTTCATATTATATTATTATTATTATTGTTATTATTATTATTATTAAGCATTCACACACACACACACACACACACACACCACACACACAACCACACACACACACACACACACACAGAGCAAATGTATTATTACGCTTTAATAAATTTTATATTTTTAATTGTAAAAAAATTATATTTATTTACACGCCTCTCCTTGCATTTCCATCTCTTGCGCTATCTCTCTCTCGCGCGCTAGTTGTAAGTCTCGTGATATCTTCGTTGCGCTCTCTCTCGCGCGTTGTTCTTCCGATATTATTGTTCTTTCTCGTGCGCGTTGTTCGCGATATGGTTCTCTCTGTCATACGCGTTATTTTCGCGCTATTATTCTTTCTCGCACGCGTTGTTCTCGCAATATTGTTCTCTCTCGTACGCGTTGTTCTCGCGATATTATCGTTCTCTCTCTCTTTCATATGCTCGTCGCTATCACTCACTTACCTTTGCGTCGTCCTTTTCCCACCTATGCGCCATCTTACAATGCGTCGTCCTTGTCCCACGTTGACGCCATCCTTGTCGCACGTTGATGCCATCCTTGTCGCACTGTCGTCTTCACACACTTAGCGCTATCCTTTTCTTACACGTAACGCTATCGTAATACTTTTGTATTATGTATGTGCAAACTAATGAGAAGACCTTATTACTTTTGTATTATGTATGTACAAAATAATGAGAGGAATCAATTGGTGTAAAGAAAAAATATAGTTGTTTTAAAAAATAATTGTAACTGTTAATTGCAAATTACATATTGCAAATTACTGTACAATAACTGTTAATTGCAAATTACATATTTTTTTCTTAAAAACAACTGTGTTTGTTTTACATCAATTGATTCCTCTCATTATTTTGTACATAAAAGTATTAAAATAGGATAATCGAAAAATGAATATTTTACTAGATATTTTACGGTTTATGTAAAATTAAGAAATGATTTCAAGCCTCATAACTCGGAAAGTACTTAATGAAAACTAACTTAATTATATATTATAATTATATATTATAATTATAGTGTTTTGGAAAGCTCTCGAAAATTATAAGAATATGAAAAAGCATATATGGTGTCCCGTTTAAAAAGTTGGATGTGACCTTCACGTGACCTTCAGGTGACTCTTCAATGTCAAACTAATGACACCACCTTATGTTCCTCTTCAAGCCATACAACTTTTGTCTAAAACATTTTTTTCTACAATCAAAATTAAAAAAGTTATAAGGGTGGAACTTTTAAAATGGGACACCCTATATAATATATATATATATATATATATATATATAGATATATATATATATATATAGGGTGTCCCATTTTAAAAGTTTGAAAGGGTGGCCCACGTAAAGTGTTACAAATTTATATCTCAGAAACAAATTAGAGAATTAACAATTTAGAGGAAAATGTTTTAGACAAAAGTTGTATGATTTCAAGGAGGATAGAAGATGGTGCCATTAGTTTGACCTTAAAGAGCCACTTAAAGGTCACGTGAAAGTAACCTCCAATTTTTTAAATAGAACACCCTATATGCTTTTTATTTGGCAAAAAGTTCTGCAACGGTTAAAAATCCTGGAAATGATTGATTTATTGGAAAAATGTTTCAAACAAAAAGAATAGGGCTTTAAAATATCTATTGTGATGATAATATCTGGATGTTGGTATGATTTGAAAAGCCTGGTCATGGTCAACATAAAAATTTTAAACGGAAATCCCTACTTTTTATTACATATTCTTGTAGTTTAGCTCGAGAGCTTTCCAAAACGCTATAATAAAATATTTTTTAATGAGTACTTTTCAAATTATGAAGCTTGAAATAATTTCTTAATTTTACATAAACCATAAAATATCTAATAAAATATTAATTCTTTATTATCTATACTTTTATGCACAAAATAATGAGAGAAATCAATTGGTGTAAAGAAAATACATACTTGTTTCTAAGAAAAAATATGTTATTTGCAATTAACAATTATACTCCTCTCCAGAAAAGTCAAACAAATATGACCATTCAATGAAACTTTTAAAATTTTTAAACTTTTATCAAAAACGTTTTTTAAATATTTAATGTTATTGTATGGAATATTAAATATTTAATGTTCCGGAATTTTCTGTTCCCGAACTTTTGGAGGAGCCTGTATAATTGAATTAGTATACTACTCCATACTGCTATATACTCAGTTTTAACATCTACATCAGCGAAAAAAGAGTTTAAATTTAATTTTTATACCAACGTATTCTTCTATTACCATCTATAACTAGCGAAGAGTTGAAATTTAATTCAAACAATTATCCTAGTTTTATCTTTTAATCTACACATTACAAAAAAATTCAATAGTTGAACATTCTTCAAAGTCTAACGGAATTATTAGAATTTTACATTTTATAGAATCGATTAGAATCATTAGAATGATAATAAATAAAATTCCTTCATTATTTTACGAATAAAAATTTCTCTTAATGTTTTTGTTTTCAGGTATCTATGAATGATATGGATTTTAATATATTATGGATGGGAAACCATCCTAAGCCAGATATTTTGCGGAATTTACTGCCTTATCAAAAAGTGAATCATTTTCCTAGGTAAATAAATAACTAAGAAACAATTTCCTTAACCAAACAGAAAATAATTTGATAAATATCTAAAAGAACTGTCTCACCAATGACTTTGATATGTTGTCAAGGTCATTACTCCGAATAACCTCCAAAAAGTTTTAGTTGGCGGTCAATGTTTATTAACACGTTTGCTGCCAACTACGAGTATACTCGTAGTTCGCAGCGAACGTGTTGAAAAGTTATTAACAATTAAATTGTATAGTACAAACATGTGTTAAATGCGAAGAATATTATACATACCTCAGATACGGTTATAAGATTCCTTCCCCTGCACTTCAAAAAATTAACTTAACTTAACATTTTTTGTCGCAGGAGAATTACTTTATGCATACCCTCGCTCTCGGGGGAGAGACGAGAGTTATGTTGGACTCCGGGCTATGATTGCCCGTATATCAATTAAAACTCCTGCGATGGCCTTTGCAGTGGAAGAGCAGGCGGGGACCCAGGATTCGCTGATACAATACATTGGCATTCCCGACTGTTGCTCCCTTCCTCGCTTAGGACCCGGCGGCCTTATGTTTGCCGTCGGGTCTCCTTCCCGGGGGAGGGCGGTTGATTCCCTCCCCTTCTTCCTTACTATGGGTGGATGGGGCCACGCCGTCTGCCCACCTTCTCGTGGACTTTGCTCAGTCACTTTGAGCCCCCGCCTGATGACCAGGTCCAGAAGGAGTCGCACCCATGCTATCCGAACGAAGGGAATAACTTCTTTCAGCTTTCTCCGTTCATCTGGGCCTGAGGGATCCTTGGCTCCTTCGCTTTATCCGACGCCGAATTGGCGCCGTGAAGAGAGGGAGGGAATTACCCCCTGTCCTACTCCTCGCCGTCCCGTTTGTTTATATGCGCGCGGGGGGTAAGGGGAGAGGTATTTTTGTGGAGTAATCGCCACATTATTGTGTATTTCCCTCTTGATCTCATCTCCTCAGTGGGGGGATAAGATCCCCCTCGCATGTGCTCATATTTTCCTGCTCCTTTGAACAGGGACCAGAGGGGAGAGAGGGGTTAGTGCGCCACCTCCGTTGTCTACCTCCTCCGATTTTTCCATCTCATCCCATCTATCCGCGATCGCCACCGCCGCCTCTGCTACTGCTGCTTCTTGACGGCGCTCTCCGCCGACTCCTTTAGCATTATTTCTTCGCAATAGGTGACGACGGCCTTCCATGCCTCTTCGCTGCCGGCCATACGGGTGACTAAGATCGGCAGCGAGAGCTCTCCTCCCATTACTCTCGCCCGGCGTTGTTCGCTCCACACTCGGCGAGAGTGTGTTGTGCGGTGTCGCATGCCTTCTTGCAGTGGTGACACGGCGTGGTACATTCTCAGTCTATGCGACGCAGGTACTGCCCGAAACATCCGTGCCTCGTCAGTACCTGCGTCAGCCAGTATGTTACCTCCCCCTGTCTACCTACTCCGATAGATAGGGCCGGACGGCCCCGAAAGTCCAAAGACCCGCAATGCTCTGAGAGATGGGTATTCTATCTCTCTAATAGTGACTACCGGGCTTAGATCCGAATGATCTTCTTGGCTCTTGGCAGCTGTCTTTTCGTGCTGTCCCGGATTTCTCGCTCTCTGTGGTATTTTCCGCGTACATTGCGGCAAGAAATTCCACGAGCGACCATTCGCGGCGTGTAACACCGTCCTGTAGACTCTAATGATCCTGGCGGCCATGCTACGCTGGATGCGACGAAATTTATCTTTCGCACAGCTCCTGGCCGCCAGTCTGCCCACACGAGTGCGCCGTACAGCGCCACCGAATTTACGGTGGTCATGTACACGCACCGGCAGGATGGTGTCCCGGTATGCTTGTGTGACGCTCACTGATGTTACACTTACACCAGCGAAGCGCAATGTACGCGGGCAAAAAGAGAGAGAAAATGCGGATGGAGTGGGGGACATTCCGATGTTGCGTCCTTCGCGCACGGCGCAAGAGCGAGAGAGAAAGTACTATAAGATGTGATACCGAGTTAGAGGTGTCCGATAGCCGTCTATCTCGCTCGACCTTCGAACGATAGCTATATACGCGGACACCGCGCTGTTTCTATACGTGTGTCGTGCGTTCTTGTATCGACATGCATTTTTTTCTTTTCTTTCTTTAAGAAATGCGACTTAATCGCGTGCACTAAAGGTCGGCATTCATTTTATTAAATTGAATAATAATTAAATTATATAAAAAGATAAAATTTAATGAAGTAATAAATTCTTGGTTACGTGCGCGCTTTGCGTGTGTGCGTATGTCAGCCGTTCACACATACCGAGACACCACTCCTGTCGGTGCGTGTACATCCGGCGCACTTGACCATCCGGACCCCCAAAACTAGGGAGGAGTCGATTTAACGCCGCCGAAACTCTCTCTACCCTGAGGCGAGGGCATCAAAATGATGTCCAAACGTCCATTTGCCGTCCAGTAAAAGACGGAGGTATTTAATTCGGTCTCCTACCAGGATGGAGGTAGGAGACGGAATTAAATATCTCCTACACTGATATGGGTCGATGGTGGCACCCCAGAGACTTTTCCATAGAAGTAAATGGCCTCGGTTTCTGTGTCACCACTTTGAGTCCCATATCAGTGATTCCTTGTGAGTGGCTTTCACTTGGACATAGTACAATTGGACACGTTGCAAATGGATACATTACAAATGGACACAAAACTTTGTACACGGTTTAATTGGGCACCGTTCAGTACCGTTTAATTTCATACCGTTCATTTGGACACAAATATGTGCACTGCTTATTTGCATACCGTTCAGTTGCACATCGTCCATTTGGACACAGAAATATATGCACTGTTTATTTGCACACCGTTCAGCTGCACATCGTTTATTTGGACACAGAAATATACGGACTCTTTATATGCACACCGTTCCGTTGTGTACCATTCGTTTGCACACCGTTTATTTATATACAGAAAGATGCGCACTGTTTATTTGCACACTGTTCGTTTACACACCTTTCATTTCTACACAGAAAGATGCGCACCGTTTATTTGCACATCGTTCATTTGCACACCATTCAGTTGCGCACCGTTCGTTTGCACATCGTTTAGTTGTACAGCGCTCAATTGCACACCGTTTACTTGGATATGTTACAAAGGCGAATAGTTTACTTGAAAAAATATAAACTATCTTATTGTACTTTATAATTGTAAATATTTACGTGTTTGTAGTATGGGCGCAGATGGAGAGGGAGGTATGAGAGGATTTTTGTTGCATAATTTATTTTTCAGAATTTTATTTCATAAATCTTCGCCTTACTAAATACTTGATGAGTCTATATTATACTAAAAATGATAGATACTGAAAAGATTAGCGAGGCCCCTACGCAAGGGAGAGTATTATGAATCGGAAATAAAAGCGTCCTATCTTGCGTAAAAGTTTCGTTTTTAATCTTGTCGATATTTTCAGTATATATATTTGTTTTTATAGTAGATTTTATGAAAGAGAGGGAGGGGAGACGGAGCACGTCCCTTCCCGCCTGCACCCACAAACATTTAGATATTTACAATTATAAAACACAATAAGATAGCTGATTATATTTTTTCGTTTCTATAACATATTTCCAAGTAAACGGTGTGCAAATGAACGATGCCCAATTGAACCGTGTGCAAAGTTTTGTGTCCATTTGTAATGTGTCCATTTGGACGTGTCCAATTGTACTGTGTCCAAGTGCACTGTCTCCATTCCTTGCACAATGCGTGCCACCGCTGTTCCCATCCTGGCTATTCCACGCTGTTCCGCCAATTGTCCCCCATAGCTACCACGTCATCTGCGAGTGTGTCATTTGCATAGCAGATGCGTGGCAGCGTGGCAGCCACGAACCTAACTTAATTTAACCTAACCCGTATCTGATGTATGCGATATTCTTCACATTTAATGCATATTTTTACTATACAATTTAATTGTTAATAACACAAGCCTGCGAGATTTAATTACACGGAGCAGAGTGGGTGAATCTAATAGATTTTGTGACGCTGAAAACGAATCTGGCCAGAATTTTCTCAGCAAACCAAGTTTTTGAGTAATTTGAGTTGAATGGCCCAAAAATCGCTATTTTATGACCAATTTAATGAATTTATTATAGGAAAATCAAATTTTTTTAAAAATATTTCTACTAACGGCATCGTATAGCACTCACTTTCACCTTTCAAATCCACTTTCGATTACCGCCGTACGATTTTTTTTCATTCAGATATACAAGTTATAAGACCGGTAATGCACAGGGATCCAATAAATCATTCAAATCTGAATTACTCAGGAACCTGACGTGCTGGAGAAATTCTGCGGCCAGATTCGTTTTCAGCGTCACAAAATCTATCAAATTCACCTACTCTGTTTTACGTAACTGATAAAAGCTCAAATTTCGCAGGCCTGTGCAATTTTTTAATAAACAATGACCGCCTACCCAACTAAAATTTTTTGGAGACTACTTAGGGTAATGACCTTAACAACATATGTCAATGTCAAAGTCATTGATGAGATTGCCATTCTTCTAGATATTTACCAATAATTTATATATATATATACAGGGTGATTCTAAATAACCTTATGTTTTTGCAAAAACATAATCTTGATCGAATTCTAAGACGATTTTTCCTTTGACAAAATTTCGTGCAAAGCATAGTTTTTGAATTATTAAGAGAAACATTTTGCTTATTACGGGTCGGATACAAGAGGCATGCAAGGGCGGCGCAACTGATCGTCAGACGCGGGCGCTCACGCGATCAGCTGGTCGCTATACGCACGGACATACATGCGAATACATACATTCTCTCTCTCTCTCTCTCTCTCTCTCTCTCCTCTCACTCTCACTCTCACTCTCTGTCTCTCTCATTCGCTCACTTAACCGTTGTTGGGTTTTTTTTTTTTTTTTTTTTTTTTTACGAGGGGAAAATGCATTTTATGCATACTCACCGCTCGGTCCGGTGAGTTATGTGGGACTCGAGTACCAAGTCTAATTACCAACTCGGTACTCCCTAC